CTCAACAGAGATTTGCTTTAACATTTCCTTTCATGCAAAAATTAAATGTAGTCCAAAAGCTTTGCCATAATAACACAATAATTCAGCTTTGAATAGGAGGTAAAATAATACCTTGCTCACCATACTAAGTGCTTTCTAATTAGCACTTTACACACAATAAAGCTGAGGAGGATGACAGCAATGTCATTAGTTTTGCAATAATTTGGTCCAACGTATTGGGAAAAATACAAAATGATGACCTGTGGATATTGTGCTATATGGAATAAACTGATCATGAATATGTGTACCAAATGTCTTCGCAATGCATCCAATAGTTTTTGAGACATTTCACTCAAATCCACAAATGTGAACCTAATCGTGGAGCTCAAGGAAAAGTCAGGGGATCCCCTAAGTTTAAAGGATGTATCCTCTGTGCACCATGACCATCTGTACAAAGAAATCCAATGATTTTTATGTCATTTCCGACTTCAGGGCACACTAATTTTGAGACATTTTGTTACACATGTAAAAACATACTGCTTTTAGATCTAGTCCTTTCACTTCAATATCTATCTTAAGAACAGTATTATCACTACTGATATAAGGTACTTTTCATATCATGTCAGCCATTATGCAATTATCTTTACTTCTTTACAACAATTCTCCCGCAGACATCTGTTTTCATGTGTAAGTGCTTCAGCATCAGCGTATTCATTTGAGTAGGATGAGTCAGTAATGATTTAATAGCCTTGATGTCTTTCCACGTTTATTTTTGACAGAGAATCAGCACTTTTGAAACAGAGGGGATTATGGGATGCTACAATGCACGATTTGTTTGGTATTTCAAACCTTTAACTCTGTGCAATGCTTAAGAGTTATTTACATTTTTGCAGGGCCCCTTTACTAATGGGGTATTTCTTTATGTGTGTTTGTCATTTATCTTAAGTAAAAGATCAGAGTACTTATTCCACCCCGGGGGTAATTGATCCATCAGCAGGCACCGCTCTTTTATTTCACCCGAGTCTGTGCACAGCAGGTTCCAGCTTATTGAAAAGCTCCAGTGATCATGAGCCAAGGTGTGCATGTGAAGTGAACACTTCGCCTCAGACACACACTGAGTCCTCTGAGACTGATTAGTCTCGTGGACTGAATAAGGGACTAATAAAGCAAGACTCGCATACAGCATAAACCGTTCACTTACAGTGCAATAGATTTCTCCTGTAAAACGTCCATATTGAATTCTTGCTTTAACCCCTCCGGCATAAGACTAATTAATTACTGTTCGAAGTAATTGATTTGAGGACATGTAATTATTTTGGAGCCGTTGCAGATTGAAGTTAATGAGTCTATCAGTATTTTTGTCACACTTTTATCGTTGGAGTTATTTGATTGCTTGTCGACACTGGCTGTTGTTCCCACAGGCCATTTGCACAATGGCTTCTTTTTATTCTTCTTAATCGGCTCAGAAACAGTGTCACTGCATGTCACTTTTACACTGCGGGATGTTCAGCATTTTATTATAACGCCTTTCTAAAAATAATAAATCTGTGTTATATATATATTTGCAAGACCGTAGCAGAGGGATGCTGTCTTCCTTGTGTTGACAGGGTGTTAAGTGAAGATACATGAGAGGAGTGTTGCTGTATGCCAGAAGTCATTAGCAGAGTATGGATTGATTTGTTTAGTTATCGATGGCAAACTGAGAAAAAAAGACTGCTTTTCAGATTCCATTGTTAGGTGGAATTCTATAGAGAAATCTTTGAGTCAAAGATAACAAAATAAATATGTTTTTTATTCTGTTTGCCTGAAGCTGCATCTTTAATAATTCACCAATTCTCTGCATGTCTATGTCGAGTGCTCGTGAAATGTCATGCTACTTCTGGAAATCAATCCTGTGTTTACGCCATCCGTTCAAAGTGATCCATCTACGGTTGCTATGGAAACACTCCCATGAAACAATGTTGAATGTTAATTTGGCCTTACACTGAGGACAGAATCCATCATTGTCCAAACTCATCTGTGTGCATCCTCCAAATACCCCAATGTGCTTTTGTTAAGGAGGGTGGTCCTGTTAAATAAGGAACCAGTAGTAGATTGACTTTAATTCAGTCTGGTAACTTTGTAATCCAGTTTTATTTGTCAATACATGAATGTATACTGAGGAGAAAATGCTTAAAACTAGTTAAAGCGCCCTATTATGCATTAGTTTTGTGTGCCTCTACTGCGACATTTTGACCTGTTTTAATATTTTAAAGGTCTTTGTTTTTCTCATACTGCCTGTACCTCTTTTCACCCTCTGTCTGAAACCAGCCCAGTCTGCTCTGATGTGATTGGTGAACCGCTTAGAGATGTCCCGCCCCTTAGCCTATCACGTACAATTGGTTGGAGAGTTAACCAATAGAAACGTGAGTGTTGCGTAGTGATGTCACTATGTTAATGAAGTCAACAAAGAAGTCGAATGGAGGTATTTCAGGCAGGATTTTAGCCTTTGTAGACCATTTACATGCACTAAATTGTATATACACAATACAGGAAAGCGAAAACCCCCAAAACATAATAATGCCTCTTTAATCATTTTGTTTGAGGGCAGTGATATATTTCAGATTTCAGAAAATGTTCTAGAAAATATTGAACGTTGCAAAAGTCAATACGATAGCAGTACGAATCATAAGCCAAATAATGGATGAAAAAGCATGTTTTTTTCCATAGTGTTCCTCGGACACTATCATCTGTTTTGCTTTGTTGTCTGACCAGCTGTCCTAGTCTGTTGATGGATGCTTGCTCTGACAGCAGCACAGAGCTTATGAGTGGAACATGGGGAGGCAGATGTGACGATGAAGGGATGTGAGGTTATATCTGAAAGTAACCTGATTCAGGATCCTCAGGTTGGTCAAACATTATTCATTTTGGTCAAATAATTTCTGTTCTCACTGGAGTGTGCTGGAGAGTACCTTTATGCTTAAATGGCTCAACTAGTCAGGCAGTACATGAGGTTGAAAATCACTGAACAAACACGCTGTCAGTGCCGCCACACAGCAGGAGATTGGCCTCCTCTGTCCTTTGGTCCATACAAGTCCCTTATTAGAGATTGTAGTGACGCACACTATGAGTCGGTGGATAGAGGTGTTGTGACCGGGTTGAAAAGGATAGCAGGAAGCATGAGGAACACACATCCAAAGTGTGGGTGTTTCATTCTCAAAATGACTATCAAAACATGAAACCAAATCTGAAAATGTGTTGGTCCATAAACATTTAAAATCACAATAAATACATTTGAACACTGTTTTGTGCATTTGTATTATAACACTACAAAATATGTCATCAAGAGGCCTCAGCAGATGGTATTCGTCATGACCACATGACTCAAGGCACGAACTCCCAATTGATGACTGTTTTTCCCGTTGTGTGAGTCATGCTCGGTTTCAAATAAAAAAAACAGTCTGACCTTTTTCTGATTTTTGTAACCCTTTTTTATTGATTTACCTCTGCTGTGGATTTGATTCCACACGTTACAGCATTTGATTTATTTGCTTATTTGGACAGGACGTGCGGTGAGTTCAATACAACCTTAACTCCATAGTTATGTGTATAAATATTAAAAGTTATATTTTCAAGCAGGATATATTATGTCTTTTGTCTTTATTTTATTTCAGTGATCTACTTTAAACAATAAGCTAGGAAAGACTTATTATGGTTATCTTGCAATTCATAATAACCTTCCCTTTAGGCAAATGCTGTTCAACTACGGTATTATATCTAAACCCTCCAAAGCAGTTCATCCCTAAGATCCCTGAACAAATAGTCATGTATTCATGTTAAGCCTGAGGATTGACACTATTCATGATGAAGGAAGATGCACCTTAAACATAGCCTGAAGATTTGGATCTGTTACCCAAGCTTTGTATATTGTTAATATTTCAATGTGAACAATAAATAATGAGTGAAAACAAAGGGGCTTAGTTGGTTGTCACAAATGATACCAACGATATAAAAACGCATATCTTGATACATATATATGTTTAGGCAAAAGAAAAAGAGTGTTAAGATGTCTCATGAACAAGGCACCTAATGCCGCCAAATTATACTGGGTTATTAAATAACGGGTTATTTAGTCCGAATACTCAGAAAATAGTGAATTGGGAGTGACTAGATTCCCTGAAATATTTTTGAAAAGGATAGAATAAAAGTACATTTTATAAAAGGGGACCAGTTGTCTCTGAATGTTTGACAGGAACTTCAACTACTATATCTGACATTTTAGCGACAAGATAGCGGTGTGGCTGGGTTCAGGTGGCATCCAATCATTCTATGACCAACGTTGGGATTGAAGTTGGACAGTATTTATCTCGTGAAACGTGAATGACACACCATCTTAATTTAATAAATGAACTTGATGCTTAAATCCTGCACCCAGGTTTTGTTTTCTGCAAGGAAGGGATCTTTTAACTGGAATATTCTCAGCAACATCCCCCTTGTTGTAAGGATCCAAGTTTATTTTGGTGTCTTCCATACTCTTTACTCACTCAAAAATAATGGAAATAATATATAGTATAATGCTAAAGTACCATGGCTGTAGGTCTGAAGTTATTAGCCTTAGAAAGAACTACTCTTTTTCAAAAGTTGACTACAAATTAATTAGTAAGAGCACTATATATGTCCACACTGTTTTTCCAGTGTCTCTCCTGAATTGATTTGCTAAATTGAATTGTTCTCTCCCTGGTCTGACTCATTAGATATCAAGCCATGGTGAAGATGCAGGCACTGCCTCATCTGTAGACAGGCTCATTTGTTTGAATAGCTATCGATGCTGTTTTAGGGGGTTTTCTTAGGGAACCTCCTGATTATGCAGCGATTGTGAATGGATTTACCGAGCACCGCAGCCTCTCTCCATACCTCCGCTGTATGCCATGCCTTTCTGCAGTGTAGTGTGAACATTAAAGCGAATGTGGAGGAGGAGTCCTCACTAGGGGGAGAGGGGTGGGGGATGCAGGAGGGGATGGGGAGGCGGAGAAAGAGTAAGGTGCCAGCAACACAGGCAGATAGCGATGAACACTGGCAGAGAAGAGCCTTAGCTGTTTAGAGTATGAACATCTTCACAGGGCAGGTCTGCAGGGAGCCTCGTTCATAATCTAGGAGGAAGCTTTGGATACTGATCTCCCATCTTCAGGCTGGTAGGTTTATCATACTGCATCTGCCTCATCTGCATGCTGATTCTCCTGTTTGTGTGGGATAGAAATGTTGCAACATTTGCAATTCAAATGACACACAGTCAGCATTTTCTTTTGATTCATTTACATGATGCAGAAATATGAAAGCTGCTCAGTGTTGGTTATTCATCTGTGTCCAATCTTGCAAAATTAAGCCTTAATTCCAGGCATTTTCTAGCTTGGTTGTTTTGTGATAAAGATGCAACCTATAGTGATATTGTTTTACCTGTGCCTCCTCAGCTTTTTTTGAGGACTTTCCTGTGACAATGAAGAGGTTTTCCCAGAGTCTGATTTCTGATCTCCTTCATCACCCTCCTCCTCCTCCTCTCTGGGTCAGATGTTTTCATTAGTCATTGTTGTATTTCTAAAACAAAAAGTATACAGTTATGCTGAGCTCAGCCAAAGTCTGGGAATTCCACAACCTGTCGAGTCCCACACGCTTCATTTCCAGCTCATAAAATCTCTTGTATGTCCATCCCTGTGTGCTCGGATTCCCCCTGAGACTCTGCAGGCTGGAGTCGTAGCCCTGATATCCCACTGCAGTCGAAAATACAATATCAAGAGTCTTCTCTAATGGGAAGGATCAGACTCCCCATGAAAGGGGCTTCTGAAATTAAGTATTGACAAAAAGCTGTGACGGACATTTCACTGCAGTACAGACCCACGACGCTCCTCTTTTCTTTATAGGGTTAATGAGAACAGATTTCTACTTTCTCCACTTGAGAGTGTCATTTATGTGCCATTGACTTTAAACAGTGTATGCTCTAATTTTGCTATCCGTCACAATTCTGATTATGCAAACAGACTGGCAACAGTTCTCAGAGGATGTTGAAATTGTAATATATGCTTAATAATTCATTTGAGCTTGGTTACTGCGGAATGGAAGAATGAAAGCCTGGGGATGACTTTAAAAACGGTCACAACATAGTTTCAAAGCAGAAGAGAGACATTCAGTATCAGCTGGGCAAGCCCCAGATCAGACCATCAAGGGAGCGGGGTTGGTGGTTCGATCCCCAGCCGCTGCTGTCATCATGTCAAAATTAAACACGTTGACAGCATGTTTGTTAAACACAAATTGCGCTTGCAGGCGTTTCTGTTTTGAAGTGCAAGTTGCTGATGGATTTTGGTATTATTACAACATATAACATTGAAATTATTTAATATAAGTCATATTCACCAAAAGTATGCAGAAATGTGTTTCTGTAATATAACCAATAGGAGAGCTTCAATGTGTGAGAGATTTTGGGGATTTTGGGAGCACTGTATTACTTTATACTCTATTTTTTCTTCAAAAGCATTTGCTTGAAATACATGTTGTAATACAACCAGTTTGAGACCATTAGGAGCTATTTTGGTAGAACTCAAGTGTATAACAGTTGAGTTATTAAATATGTTTCCACCATTCAAAATCACCCAAATTATGCAAAATATTTTGGGCCAAACTTGTTAGTCTTGTGTAACCAAGAGGACAACATTAATGTGTGAAGTGATTGTGTTTGTGTAACACTACAGTGTATCAGTGCAGTTATTAAATATTTTACAGAAGAAAAAACACCCTAATTTATACTCTTTCACAATAAGTGTTGTATACTAAGTGTAGTGTAACCAGCAGAAGACCATTATGTGAAGTGATTTTGTGTATCACTACACTGTGTAATAACACAGTTATTTGATAGTTTACATAAGGACAAATCACCAAAATTATTCATGAGCATATTCCTTCAAAACAAATGTTGTATTATAACCAGTGGGAGATCATATATGCATTAATTGATTTTGATAACACTTCACTGTAAGACAGGGAATCATTGAATATTTTTCAAGTAGGTATTTTTCGGCATTGCACTTTGTAGCCGGTCCCTGTGTCTTTCCTCCGGCTGCAGATAGAGACCAATGTAAGTCGTCCAGCTCAGAGGACCCTGAATTGATTGATCTTCTTAGTGCTGCTATTAAAATTCAGTCCACAAGTTTGATAAATGATCACATTTGTACTGGTATAGATATACTGTATGTCAGGCCATTAATAAATCATTCTGCATGTATTTCACATCAAATACTACTCTTTTAGTTTATTCTGGACAACTACAAACCTTCATTCATGCTTCTTCAGTTCAATTTAGATCGAGCTTCATTCACACTTAAGGGGGATTCATGTCATGTTTGGTCTGAAAACCTGTGATGGTTGTTCTATGGGCTTGGCATTATCAAATATGTGCATTTTCTTTCTTTCATGAAAAGAACTGTGCTAACAAAGAAAATAACAGAATTGCATTTTGCTTCCATGAAAATAGGCTCTGACAAAAGTGCCATTTCTAAATGAAGGCTAACACTTAAAGGGGTTAACATGGGATTTTTGTCCATAAAGGTAATTGTTCCTTTGATGTCTACATGACAGAAAAAAATGAATTTTTCATTTTTTCCAGAAGTCAGCACAAAGTGCTTATTGAACAACAAGTCCTCCAACTCATACGACCAAATGGGCCGATTGTTCAGGCCATTATTACGACCAAATATGTCGTTTGTTCAAGCGCTTAATACGTCCTATAATTACGTTTGAAAGTTTTCGCCCTCTAGTGCTCCCGTTGAATGCAAACGTTACAGATAGTCGTTTATTCACAAATAACCCTCTCTGTAAAATCCTAAATTGTAGGATAGTTTGGCCATTAAAACGCTTTTTGATTAGATTTCTAGCGAGAAGTGTATATTGTACTTTTGGAATCCACGTCCAGTCGATATGTAGGATCTATAGTTTGATAGATATTACGTAGATTATTTGAGGTAAAGTAAATGTAAATGTAAAGTTACGGGTTGAAAACAGTATTTCCGGTCCCGACGTTTTCATAATAAAACCAATGATCAAATGATTTAACAGTGATATCTGCAGTACTCATCCACTAAAAAACATCAGTTTATCCTTGTTAATTATACGACATTTATTGGTTTAAATTGTGTACAATGCTTTTGTGTTTTTCCCATAGGTTTTTCTCTTTCGATTCTGAGAGACACCTTTCTTTTTTCAGAGGTTTTGATAGGCTAAAATCACGATTGTTTTAGCCGCAATGCATTTCGGATATATGATGTTTATATGATATGAAATCGGAAAAACATTTTTTTTAAATAAAATAATACTTTATTCCGAGTGTTCTTGATTTTCTCTTTGGAAGTCATCACATAACGGCATTGTAATACACGGTTTGGCTGCATTAAATATTACATATCTGCTGTAGATATTTATTTCTAGAGCCCTGATCAGAAGACCTTTTGACAAACTGTAAGAAATGCCGCCAAAACTGAATACGTGACGTGGATCATAAATATATTAGCAATTAAACAACATCTTCCATTTATTTTCACACAATACGTCTCCTTTTAGTATCAACACTAATTCGGCTGACTTTTATATTTGATCCAATTGGTAGATAGGCTATATTTACACCATAACGGTGCACAGCTGATAGAAAGGGATTTTTTCGTAGTTTTTAAAGACATTATTTACTGAACTACCTTTCCAACTCCTCATGCAGTTGACTGTTACAGGTTTTGCAGGTTCATGGTACAATGCATAAGCTTCAAATCCAGAGACTGAAACTGTATTTTCCTTTACCGTTCTGTTTTAATTTCACAATAAAGTTAATAGTCATATTATGTTTGATATTATTATGTTTTATTAACTACACCACTGTTTTTTTAACCCGCACCGCCTAGTGGTTAAAGCACGTTATTGAATATTGTTGTTGAATACGTTTTATTTGATGAAAACATTTAAATATTAAGAGTAGCCTACATACAAAATTGGGGGAAAGTAGAAGGCATGATATAAATATAGAATAGAAAATATCAAGAAGATACTGATCTCTACAGTAAAACAGTTTAGTGCAGGACGTCCAAAGACAGAGGAGGATGTGCAAAACAGACAAACTAATAAGGCTTTATTTAAACATTAAAGAATACTTTAAGTTAAGGTCTTCTTTTGAATAAGAAAAAAACGTTGGGGTTATCCACAGATAAATATGAAGTCTGACAAAGTACTTAACGTCCAATATATTGCATAGTTTATTTTGGCACTTGACAATCACCTTCCAATTCCAGTTTTGGAAAGTATGCCGTGGTTCCATTCCATTTCATAGAGCTGTGGCGCTCAGCGTAACCTTGTTGCACTGCCACTCCAACATCCAATCACAGGGCTTGATGACTAATCACGGGGTTTGTAAAGCAAGGCGGATGTTGTAGTCCCAAACGATAGCTGGGGATTCTGGGTAGTGTAGTGTCTTCGGAAACTGTAGTGTCTTAACTCCGAAAAACTATTTGTTTCTCTGAATCGAAGGTTAAAAACACAAAAGCATTGTACACAATTTAAACCAATCAATATTGTGTAATTAACAAGGATGATGTTTTTTAGTGGATGAGTAATGCAGATATCACTGTGTAATCATTTGACAGTGATTTCACAGAGAGGATTATTTGTGAATAAACGTCCCTCCGGAGCGTTTGCAATGAACGGGCCGGGAGCATATTGTTTCTTACACGACCACTAGAGCACCTCTGGTGGTCGTATACGAAACAACATACACTTTAAAACGTGCCCCTGGTCGTAATAAGGGCCTATATGGTCGTTTTTTGTAGGAAGACAGGCTGTTATTGAAATACACTTGAACCACATAATGCTGCACCTGCTTTCAGCTGCCTATCATTACCTCCAATGCAATGCAATGTCACCTTGTGACAACCTCAAGCAATTTACATTCCGATTCTAAGAAATCTTTTGAAAAGTGGGGAATAAGTATAGGGTGTAAGCGTTAAAAGAATGAATATATTCCATAAATCCTATCCAATCGAATTGATCATCTCTGTTTCTTGGAAATTGCTATGTAAGTATTGTTATGTAATGTCTGAATTCAGATATAGTTCTGTTCCATAGACATCAACCAATTTTTAACAAACAGATGCACTGACAAATATGGAATATGACCAAACACACAGGGTTGTAACATTAGGCGTAGTTCAACATTTCATCAAGAAACAAACTCCTTTACAACATCTATTCATGTTGGGAGACATCATTCTAGTTTTCCATACTCTTCACTGTGGCCCATCAATTTCACCATCAAGAGTGTACCTTTACCTTCAAGCCTCAATTTTGCACCAATTACCAGCCAGAAAGTGCACACTGATGTCATGGAAGGTTTTGTAACCACACTGCAACACTTCAGAAGCAGATTTTGTTATTGACAGAGAATGACAGAATATATCCCTGCTCACTGTATAAGGATGGGATGTTCTTGGCTAAAATAAAATATACCCCAGCTTCGTCCTTTTAAGAAAATGAATCAGGAAAGCACTCAGGCTGCTTTGGGTTTTGGGACACAATTCCTTGGTTTAGAGAGGAAAGGGGTGAGTGGTTGGCTGTGAGGGAGAAAAAAACCCCAAATCAAGGGTGTAATACAATGTGTGAATTGAGAATAACCTTTTAAATTAGTCTCTATTTTAATTGAGCTGTATTGCAACCATACTTGTAATTAAACAAGGACATATTCCCTGGATAGCACGTCACCATGGCAATTAAAAACCACCTCTCATTCCTGTCTAATTAATACACAGGACATGACTACACTGGGGATTAATTGGATAAAATCATCTTATGGTGCATGCAGGCTCGTCATCTTTTTTAGTATCATTTTTAATGTTGCAAAAACAAACTCATCATAAAAGAACCTCCTTTGTCATGGTATCACTAGTTTATAAGCCCTGTCTTTAAAATAGCAATGTGATATAGCCTACTGTGCTGCCTGATCCGATGAAATATAGGGGGCAGCATTTAACCTATACTACTGGGTCCATCAGTTTGTTAAAATAAATCTACTACTCACTAATAGCAAGGCTGAATCCAAAATTGGCCAACTCCTAAAACAGTCAAAATAAAACTTTTATCTTATAATCTTCAGGTGTCTTAAATTAACGCTAGCCTCATCTTTGTGCTTTGTGCTAACTGTGGCATTAACATTTGATATGTTATGTATTAGCTTGGTTTCGGGCTAGTAGAGACGAGTGAATTAGAATATGTTTCGTCCTCCTAGCTAACAGGGACTGCTTTCCTTGGAGGGGAGCTTCAGTTAGCGCCTGTTGTGGTGGCAATTTGGCGAGCAAATACACCAAAACCGGGAGCAACAGCTAGCTGGTCGAGTGCAGGGTGTAACCTGTGTAACCTGTGTAACCTGTGTAACCTGTGTAACCTGTGTAACCTGTGTAACCTGTGTAACCTGTGTAACCTGTGTAACCTGTGTAACCTGTGTAACCTGTGTAACCTGTGTAACCTGTGTAACCTGTGTAACCTGTGTAACGGCAGCTACATCAACTTTACTGATTTGGTTTAATACCCTTGGTTCGGGCCTCCATGGCGAGGGTTTGCTCGGGCTGAATTCTAGCGGTATTTCGTGTTATAGTCACGACATTTAATCTATTGATTCGTGTTCACCAACACGATTTCCCCCTTTTTTTCGTGTCACACAGAACGATTTTAAAATCAATGTATTTCTATTGGTAGTATGTTTCGTGCCTGCACCACGTCTTTGTGTCCGGTCGGGTCTTGGAAGACCGGAAGCTGTGTGGTTCATAAAAACATTTTGTTACTCAATATCAAGCCACGATTATTGTTTTTATTTTAAATCGTATAATGTCTGACTTTTTTTGCCGTCCGTGAGGAAAGGACATGGGGCGCAGAATACGGAAATATGTCACACTCCTAGGTTTATGTCACAGTTTTAGTGTTGTCTGTCTGGTTATGGGTTTTGTAAGTCTGTTCATTCTGTGTTTTGTCTTCCTCCTTGTGTTTTGTCTGGTCCTCCTCCCTGTCGTTAGTTTCCCTGGTGTGTCCGATTGTCTCATTGTGTTCACCTGTTGCCCTTGTGTTTCTCCCTCCCCTGCCCAGCTGTGTCTTGTCCTGTGATTACCCTTCTGTGTATTTAGTCTAGTCTTCCCCTGTGTTCCATGTCGGTCCATTGTTTTCCCTCCATGTTATTCCACGGTCCATGTTCCTTGTGCTGCTCATTTGTTTTGGGATATTTTGGATACTGCCTTTAGACACAGCTTTTATTATTTAATAAAGCTCGCTTTTTGTTAAAATTCTGCATTTGGGTCCTACCTTTTCCACGCACCCTGACAAAATATGTATTTTTTAAATCTTTCTTTCCTTCTAATTTGTTATTATTTTCTAAATAACACACTGTTATGTACTCAAAAATAACACACAATTATCCTTGTTTTTATTTATCTGTTTAATTCTATAATATCGGGCTTTTTTGCCGTCCGTCAGGAACTGAATTTCAAAATAAAGTCGCCAGAAACAGACGTAGGCGATACACAGCCACTGAACTGATTACCCAAGATCCTCAGCTATGGTTGAAGCTCGGTGATTGGATGTTTTAGCCGCAATGCACATTGGGATATGGTGTTAATGCAATATGAAATAACTATCAACAGAATTGCGTTGCCAGGCAACAGCTTGGGGTGAAAACAGTATTTCCGTTCTCGAAGTTTGCATAGTAATCTGCAGTACTCATCAACTAAAAACTTCAGTTTATCCTTGTTAATTACACAACACTGATTGGTTTAAATTGTGTACAATGCTTTTGTGTTTTCCCCCTTCAATTCGGAGAAACAAATAGTTTTTTCTGAGTTTAGGATGGACACTACACTACCCATAATCCTCAGCTATCGTTTGGGACTACAGTCTCTTTGCTTGACAATCCCCGTGATTAACCTTCAAGCTCTGTGATTGGATGTTGGAGTGGCAGTGTGCCAAGGTTACCCCGAGCGTCAAACAGCTCTATGAAATGTAATGAAACCACGGCAGACTATCGAACAGACTCGAACGGGTGTCTATCAGTGCACCACTACCTATCTACCAATTAGATCAAATGTAAAAGTCAGCCGAATTAGTGTTGATACTGCAAGGAGACGTATTGTGTGAAGAGAAATTGAAGATGTTGTTTAATTACTGATATATTTATGATCCACGTCACGTATTCAGTTTTGGCGGCATTTCTTCCAGTTTGTCCAAAGGTCTTCTAATCAGGGCTCTATAAATAGAGAACTACGGCAGATGTGTAATATGTAATGCATCCGAACCGTGTATTACAATGCCGTTATGTGATGACTTTCAAAGAGAAAAGCAAGTACACTCGGAATAAAGTATTATTTTCTTTTTTAAAATGTTTTCGGATTTCATATCGCATAAACACCATATCCCAACGTGCATTGCGGCTAAAACATCCAATCACCGAGCTTCAACCATAGCTGAGGATCTTGGGTAATCAGTTCAGTGGGTGTGTATCGCCTACGTCTGTTTCCAGTGACTTTATTTTGAAATTCAGTTCCTGACGGACGGCAAAAAAGCCCGATATTATATAATTAAACAAATAAATAAAAACAAGGATAATTGTGTGTTATTGTTGAGTAAATAAGAGTGTATTATTTAGAAAAGAATAACAAATTAGAAGGAAAAAAATATTAAATAAATATTTCAGTAATCTGCGCCCCATTTCCTTTCCTCACGGACGGCAAAAAAAGTCCGACATTATACGATTTAAAATAAAAACAATAATCGTGGCTTGATATTGAGTAACAAAATGTTTTTATGAACCACACAGCTTCCGGTCTTCCACGACCCGACCAGAGAAAAAGACGTGCTGCAGGCACGAAACATACTACCAATAGAAATACATTGCTTTTAAAATAGTTCTGTGTGACACGAAAAAAGGGGAAAATCGTGTTGGTGAACACGAATCAATAGATTAAATGTCGTGACTATAACACGAAATGCCGTGAGACTGGGTTGAACTGCCATATGCTAGTTGCTAACCACTAAAGTTAGCGGTTAGCAACTGCCAACTGAACGTGTCTGTCTCGTGGGGAAAACACCCGCTATACTCCCGGTGGGTCAGCCTCGGATGGCTGGGAGGATGAGTAGAGTCAAGTTGCTTACTTCTTATTTCCAACTATTTACTAATGGTAAAAACCATGAAAGAAAAAAAAGATTGATGCGTTATTGACGACGCCCCTAGGAAGCTTCATTTTTTTGTTCTCTGGACTGGGGCAATTGTTAGATATTTCAGCAACACAACAAAGACATCTCTGACACAACACCAACACTGTAACCTCTCCATATTCAGTTGATAGTGTTAAGATTATTTTTGGAAAAATATAAACTGCCCATATGTTACACATTGCATCCCTAAGAGAAATGTAGGAAATGTAATTGCACAGCAGTATTCTCAGTAGATGTGTTTTAACATCTCCAAGGAGATATACAAAAACAATCAAAAAGACGTGGTTATATTTTTTCTGTCTCTTTTCCTTTTTCAGACTTGCAACATGTCTGACTTTGAGGATTTCAGCAGGCAAGCAGGGCAGACTAATGTCTCTGACAGCTACCAGCTGAATCCCACCAGCGTGATCGTGTCGGTGGTCTTCTCCCTCATCTTCCTGCTGGGCACCATCGGCAACAGTCTGGTGCTGGCTGTGCTGCTGCGGAGCGGGCAGCTGGGATACAACACAACCAATCTGTTCATACTCAACCTGAGCGTGGCCGACTTCTTCTTCATCATCTTCTGCGTTCCTTTTCAAGCCACCATCTACTCTCTGGAGGGCTGGGTGTTCGGATCCTTCATGTGCAAAGTGGTGCACTTCTTCATCAACCTCACCATGTACGCCAGCAGCTTCACACTCGCTGCTGTCTCTGTTGACAGGTATGTTACAGTTATTATCCTCAGAAGAGAAGATATGTAATTGTTGTAACAACAAATTACTTTTTAAAGATAATGGTGACCTAACTACCAAGCTCATGTGTGCCATTTGAAACCATCATTGCTTTTAGAATGTCTTTTAGATAATTATTATAATCACATGTTGTTCCTGGTTCATTTCCCATGGTGCCCTTTGCTTCCTGTTTGTTGCAACTACATGAATAATTATTTTGATGATTAATCTATCAGTCAATCATTTTTATAATTAATCAACTAATTGTTTTGCCATTTTCAATTGATAAATTGCAACTCTTATTCAATTATCATAGTGAACTGTAGTTTGTACTCACTTTGGTATCTCTATTTTATTTTGCTTGTAACGTCTCAGAAATGCACATTGAGAGGCAAGTATCAGCTGTTACAAGGTAAAATCTGTGAAAATATCATTATAGCAACCATTAAAGGTCTAAATTCTGAATCTGAATCTGAATCTGAATCTGAAATTCACTAATTAATGCATACCCGTAGACTAGTTTCTCTTCCCTTTAATTAACTCAAATTAATATTGCCTTTCATTCAGCCATATTTAAAGCTTTCAGGGTTATGCGTTGTCCTCCACATAAAAGTGAAAGAGAACGGATTCATGAATTATTTAAAAATTCAAGCGCGCATTTTATTGATTTGAAGGAGTGAAAACATCTATGCTAAATGCAGTGCCAAAGCTGTTGTACATGTTTATGGACGGCACTTTACAATAATAAGGTTAAAAAATTATAACTTAAGTAACTGTCAGCTAATGCCTGACTCATAATGTTTTACATAGGCTGTGCAGAGATGCATCTATTTAAACAGCCTCTTTGGAAGCAAAACTGTACCTACATATTCTCATTGAAATTAATTAAAATCTGCAACAGCTCTGCACTGTGTCCTATCCTAGTCATTCATCAGAAATATAAATTAATTAACACATTAATTAAGATAAATTGTAAAAAGTGCACAAGGGCTTATATTATAAACGTAGTATGATGACCATGCTCATGCTCTAGAGTCTATACGGTCTTGTAAGGGAAACTTCTGCAGCAATGGAGAGTCAGGACTCAGAGAGACACGAGGAGAGTTGGAGCTTTGATGTCAAACACTGATAGTTTATTACAAGTATCAGCCGGAGAAATTCACATCACAAGTCACAGCAGCCAGAGATTCTGACTGCACTGGTGGGTTGCCATGTCAAATCTGACCAGCCTCTTTCTCGATAGACCGTTTAACTAATTTACAGAGAGTTAATCCACATATTGGGGGATGGTGCGTAAACACCTAGGAACACTGGAGATATCGCCAACATCTGGAGATACTTTTAGGCTCTGTGACCGAGAGTTGACCGGTCATAAAACTGGGAACAACACCATATGACTGCATTAGCACATCCCTTACGGGAGATAACAGACTCAGGGTTGGTGATAAACGTCAACAGGCAGAAAGGTTAAATATCTAGAAGTAAAGACAGAATTATTCTCTAACAGGTCTTATATATTTTTGCAGCAATTTTGGGTTTCATGCAATTTGTTACACAGACATATTGCTACATTTATCAATGTTTCACCTCTCTAGAATTTTTTTTAAAGATTTCTCCAAAATACCACATTTAAACACCAAGACCTAGTGGAACACCAGATAATATCTCATGAACACCAGAGAATAACTCATGCTGTGATTTGGTGTCAAAAATCTTTTAAAGGTTGAGATTTCTGTTAGAATTGTATGTTTTGACGAGCATTATTGTTCTGGAAACTGCTCAGAAACACCCTTATTGTCAGTATATCTAGGGAAGTCCTTCATCATGAATACGAATCATCTTAAATTCCTCACTCTGTAGTTTTTGATTATCCTAGAGAGCTTTTAAATGTAGGCTATAGTGCAGTCAGTTTGCAATAAATGGCCTCACTGCAATTAAATGGTTACTATGGAAACTAGCATCACCACCAAAGAATAAGATGAAAACAAATATTAAGATCACTTAAGAGTTTTACTTATGCACCAGCACTTACAACGATATTGCTTGTTGAAGGTAAATATGTCAGCACTGTTGTTGTTGTTGTTGTTCTTAGTTTGAATCGTTATGGTTTATTGCACTTATTGTAAGTTGCTTTGGATAAAACCCAGTTAAATGCTATGTAATGTAATGATTAAATGCACAAGGCTCCTGCTTGGCCAGTTATACTGAATTCATCTAAAAATGTATAGGGAACCCAGCATACAGAAATATATTCAACAAGATAGAATAGGCTTAACACACACTGTATGCAAAAAACTGCAGAGTTTTGCCAAAACTGAAAGGGATTAGCATATGCATGACTTTAAAATGGAGCCTTGTGGATAGCACCTTTTTTCATTCAGATATGAAGTGACAGGTCAAAGTACCCCTGTAAATATGGCCATGCCCTTTTTTTGCCTTCAGAATCTAGCTTAACTGTAGAGCGTTATCTATTTATTATTTATAGCTAGCATTGCATGGTACCTATGGATTATGTAGGTTTTTTGGTTTCATATGATTCCAGTAACTTCACTATAGCTTTAAAACAGAGCCTGCTACAGCATCTGAAAGACAGAATATCAGCTCAGCCAAGGTTATACTCAGCAGAAGCACCCACTAAACTTTCAATTTGTAACAAGAAGGGCTCATCTTTACTTATTCATTACTTCATACCATAGCTTCATACATGCGATTACCATGACCTGCCTCACCTCTTTCCCCTTGAGTTCCCAATAATCAAGACAATCTGCAAGGAAGCTTTTATTCAAGTTCCCACTCTGTTTATTCATGCTATGACTATACTTCACACATTTTATTTGTCTCATCTGAAGATGAAAAACAACCTCAGGAACATCGAGAACAGCAAGACCCCGGAGGTAGGACAATTCAGAGACCCATAAGACCTTACAGAGGCGCTGCATCTGTAATTGGCCATCTTATGAGAGAATCATGCATTATCCTTCCTGAAAACGATATCCCTCGCAGAGTAAATGCTAAGCCCTCATTATAGTTATTGGAAAACATTGTCAGCTCAGTCAATATGGACAGAGTCAGTGTGTAGCTGCCCTCTGCTCACACTGGCTGTGTTTGAGGATGCGATGGATTTTTCAGGATGCTAGCTAGACCCAGTCCGGAAAAAAGCAAGGACATCTGAGTCGAGATGTGAATTGATTTCCGCTATTTCCGTGTAAAAAGTTAAAAGGCAGCAGCAGGTACACTTTTCACCAGGTAACCTCAGCAGGAATTAAATCACAGAGTGAACAGCAGCACACACACACACACACACACACACACATTCAGACACACTAAGTCTTTTAATGGAAGCTATTTGCTGCTGCAGTGAGCCTGCAGGCAAGATCAAACGATTACTGTGATTTTATGCCAGTTCCCATGCGAAAATGATTCAATAAAATATAAAAAACATTGCTGTTGTTTTTTAACTAATCAGGGGGTTTATTTGCACTAAAACCACATTATGTAAGGTAACAGTAAAACAGCCAGAGATAACAGGATATAATGAGTTATATTTGTGCAAAAATGCTTACAATTTAAAAATCATCTTCAGAGATAATTGTTTACTCTTTGTTTAAAGTGTAAGCAATATATTTGTTTTGCATCATAAGGCAACATTGCATAATACCCTCAACATTTCTTCTTTTTTTTAAAACTAGAGTTCGCACCTCCTCTTGACTCTGTTTGCAGCCTTTAGGAAAGACATGTAAAAGGAAAAATCTAGCTGATCACAGGTCATTTTTAGAAAGGGAGGCTTTTTGATTGACTGTTAAAAAAAGGCAGCGCATGCACATCCTTTCAGACGGTGAAATTCTGATTCAACAAGGGAAATATCACCCAGGAAGAGTTACTACTTACAGCTTGGGCAAAAACTCCCAACCAATGCAAAGCAACCGAAAGTAAGAGACAGACTTCGGTGAAGTGTTTAAGAGATGCAGAGAAAATGTCGCTTATAATTTGGCTTCGAGTTGAGCGACATACCCAGGGGTACCACTTGAATTACAATATGCTGAAAGGTTATTATGGCTTTTTTGCCCAATAATGGCAAATTAGTGCCTCTTCAGACAATTGATACAGACAAGGTAGAAGTCAACTAAATTAGTTGAAGCGGGAAGATAGAAAGAAAAGATAGTCCATTTGTGAGTTTTGCATAATATCCTGAAGTTCATGTCTATATGCCTGCAGTTTTTAAAGGGGGATACTTTGAAATTCCATTTCAACGAAAAAGTGGTGATTCAGAATCTTGTTCAACACATTCCCAGTCTGCATCTTGTCAGACATTAACAGACAGATCATTTGCTCATGTTTTCTCATTAATCTGTCAATTTCATCCAAGCTTCCAGATAAATGTACCCGCAGTTGTGGATCTCATTAGGGACAAGTAGGTTCACTGATCTGCTTTGGTCCTTTCATGTTAGACGTGGAGTGCTTGGCCCCATTTCAGTGAGCTTTTCAGAGACCAGAGAGGTTGTTGCCTCTTATTCTGGAGAGCTATGGCTGAAGTGTCCTGCAAAAGCACATGGAAGAGGAGATTTATTTTCAGGTGACCTGCCTCTTAGAAGTAAAGCATCCAAAATATTCCATGTGTTGAATATGGCAAATACAATTTTACAAGTTCCTTCCCAGAGTAACATATCAGGTGACGATGAGTCAAAAACGTTGCCAATCAGTGTGGTGACAGACTATTGAAAGACTTCTCTGCCAGGAAAACATCAGGCTCTTTCTTCATGATAGTACATGATGGATGGTGGGATTATCGTCGACCTGCTGAGCCACATCTAGACAGAGCACAACGCATGGTTTGTGCTTTTGTCATGGCTATACCAAGGGATGTCTGTGCAATCAGATTAGACCTTTCTGTGGATATAACAGCCAGTATCGCATATTTCCCTAAGGTGGATTTTATTCAATAAACCCCACAAACGGCTGAATGATCATTATCTAACACAAAAGCCTCAGTGCGAGCAAGAGGACTCGTAACACTGAGTGTGGAGGAAGATTGTGAGGTCACTCACTCACATTTAAGTCATAACATGCAAGGTGAAACTCTAAAACAAGCCCTAATGTACTGTACATTTACTTTAGATTTGGAGTGGACACCAAGAAAAATCTCTAAATTAATCACAATGCATGAAAGCACATTTTATTGGGTTGCACTATAAGTTTTAAATTGGTCTAATGACTCCCACTGCATGGCCCAAGATGAAACAAAACAGAACAAAAACATATCTCATAAATCAACAAAGATGTTTGCCCCCCAGAACACCTAATTACTTCTTCTGAGATTTTAGTTTTATTGAGGCGTTACAGAAAAATGGGCACCTGCTGATTTGATACGAGTCTCTAATTAAAAACGCATGCGACTCTTTCAGCCTATAGTTTTCCCACTGGCTCAGCATGTCCGCTAATTATCAGCTTCATGTGCTTTGGATCCCACTTCAATGTATATTTTGTTCCTCTTTGTAGGTATCTGGCCATTCGTTACCCGCTACGCTCCAGAGAGCTGCGTACCCCGTGTAACGCAGTGGTTGCCATGGTGATCATCTGGGGTCTTTCTCTGGTCTTCGCGGGTCCGTATCTGAGCTACTATGACCTGATCGATTACGCCAACAGCACTGTGTGCATCCCTGGCTGGGAGGAGCAGAACAGGAAGTTGCTGGACACGTGCACGTTCCTGGTCGGCTACGTCATTCCCGTGCTCATCGTGAGTCTCTCGTACACTCGGACCATCAAGTACCTGTGGACGGCCGTGGACCCGCTGGACGGCATGTCGGAATCCAAGAGGGCCAAACGCAAAGTCACAAAAATGATCATCATCGTCACGGTGCTTTTCTGCATCTGCTGGCTGCCGTACCACGTGGTGATCCTGTGCTACCTGTACGGAGACTTCCCTTTCAACCAGACCACGTACGCCTTCAGGATCCTCTCCCACTGCATGGCCTACGCTAACTCCTGTGTCAACCCCATCGTGTACGCTCTGGTGTCCAAGCACTTTCGCAAAGGCTTTAAGAAAGTGTTCAGCTGTATCCTTAGTAAAAAAGGCAGAAACAAGGTCCACGTGGTTCACGTCGCCAACACCGTGCCCGGGTTTGAAGCCGGCTCCACGGAAGTGTCGCAGATGAACGAGGAGCACGTGCGACAGAATGAATGTGAAATGATAAACAGGCCTCTCCCAGAGCCCAGAGAAGCCACGGTAACACTGAATCTGCCCTTTCAGCGACAGACTTGACAAGTGATTCAGCTTTCCTGACGGGCTGAATACAGATTGCCTTATGTGAAAGACATCGCAGCTGATATTCTCGAGAAAAAGTGCAAGCTTCTCATCACGACATTCACAGTTCTGGGAGCTAACAGAAGAAGAGATTAAAAGAACATATTGTATTATTCTTAAAGGGGACATATTGTGACTTTTTCAGTGACAACAATGTGGTGATCTGCAGTGCCTACCAACCCACAAACTGTGAAATAGGACAACCCAGTCAGTATTTTGGGGGCTCACAAACCATTCAGAATAGGCTCCCCTTCCTGTGTCACATTAGAATGTATCTACACACCCATTGCTTGAGAACTACTTTTGCTGTTTTTTACATGTTAGTTTAACATAAAGGCATTTTAATACATGTTAAACCTCTGTGAGCATGACATGTCCCCTTTAAGTGTTACCAAAAATCTGTTTCTTTCATCATCTTTTGTACTTACCACTATAGCATGTCCCTCTAGAGCAGATTAAAACTCGGAAAAGTATTTATTAAAAGTGGAAACTTCTCAGTATTTCCTACTGCCTTAACCATGGCCTGCTGCTGGGTGTTTCTGTCAGTATGAGAATCTTCATAATTCCAGCACTTTTAAGAGCAGCGCAGAATGTGTCTCATAAGGTTACAGTTATGTTTCACCTTTTCAAATGGTCCCAAAGATGTTCAAAGGTTGGCGACTGTGAAGGAAAATTAATGTTAGCCAGCAACATTTACTTTTGGTTTGACTTAAACAGGGTTGGATGCAAGTTCAGGGTCATTGACTATGTTTACATGCACAAAATATTCAGGTTTTGACCCTTATTCTGAAAATGACCTTTTTCTTACTTCCTACCACATGATTGATTACACAGCTAACCAACATGAATATTCCCTAATATTATCTGTCATCCCTGCAATCAACTTCTTCAAATGGTCAGCTTTTTTTCCGCATTTCCAAAAACCTAATGACATTAAAGTCTTTCTAAATGTTCAGAACTATGAATCATTCTCCTAATGTTGGCAGAAATTGGGGCTCTTCTTACTTTAAGCATGCGTCTGCTGTTGCATGTCCTTAAGTTCCAGAGTCCTAACCTGGAAATAGCATTAATAATAATAATAATTCCTTACATTTATTATAGCGCTTTTCCAGATGCTCAAAGCGCTTTACAAATACACATTACACATATTTTGTATACATGCAATGGTCACTGTGGACAATACCCACAGGAGCAAGTTCAGGTGAAGTGTCTTGCCCAAGGACACAACGGCTTTACAGACGCAGCAGCGGCGGGTTTCACCCCTTGATCTGATGATCACAGCGCACTGCGCCACACCGTCCATCTTCACGCCTCGAAGTCATCGAAGTCATAGGCGCTTTTACAAGTACACATTGATATCATACATGTACTGTGGACAATACCCACAGGAGCAAATCCGGTTCCCTCGTCTCCAAGTCAACGTTTTTTTTAAATGTGTTTGTGGTTAGAAGCTTGACATAGGGTCAATCTGAAAATATGTTTTAAATGTTGTTCTCAGACATAAAATACGTCAGTAAATACTCGACTCGTGAATGTTCAAATCTTCTTAGTGTCTTGCAGACACTGAAAAAGACTACAAAACGTCATCACGCCGACACAAAAGCGCCCTTAGCTTAGCAGTGGTGATGTGCAGCCAGGTGACCATAATGCGGTAGACCTACAGTTAGCTTTTTACTTCTGGCAATCGTATTTACATTTCATAAATTACAAATTATAAATATGTGGAGATTATCCTGCTGAACAAAATGTGATAATTATCATAAACATGTGTTTGACACAGAGCTGTTTTTCTGCAATATTCCGAAATCCAACCGTAAAATCCCACTTTTTGTCAAGGGTTCCCTTTGCGTTGCTAACTTTGGGGTCGGCCTACAAAAGTACAATACAATACCCTAAGTGAGGCGCGTATTTCAAATCCACTGTATGTACTGTATACATCTACAAAAAGGGTCTTGAATGTGAATGTTATTGGGATATCCGACTTGATCGGAAAATGCTCGATTGGAATAAGGCTTTAATCGAAACACCCACAAGGAACCGCATCAAATTTGGGATATTGTCATATTCTGAATACTTGTGGATGTAAACATTGTCAAGTGTGAAGGAATAGTATTCCTCTGCAAAGTGGTGCTTCTCCCCCACTGATGTAAAGTGTACACGTTTTATCTCTTATGTGATCTTTTCCTCACATAAGCTCAGCTGCAACTGTAATCTTCTGAAAGATCTAAAGTCTGACTTTGACTAGTTTTGAAAGTGCTAGTCTTTTATCAAGATGTATTTTGTCTAACTGGAGCTGATGTTATTTGGTTTTTGTTCAATCGTGCATGCAGATGCTGTTCTGTATAAGATGTTACTGGTATATTTGAATTATATATGTTAATTGCGTGCAAACAAGATATTCAGTTATACTTCAATCTCAGCATTTAAAACACATTGTGGCAGCGGGGTGGGGTTAGGGCGCCGGCTGCTGGAGTGAAGGGAGTGGCTCGGCCGGAGGCCAGACAGCTGATCGGAATCAGGTAATCAGTGCCGGAATAAAAGCATGTCGTAACCTGGTTCTGGTCTGTTTGCAGTAGGCGGGATCCTGGAAGGTGGCAAAAGGACCTGTGAAGGTTGCCACGCGGGCAACGTTGGAGACCCGTGGATACTTTTGTTTGGAGCTAATAAACGCCTGTGTTACACGAACCTGCTCTTTCCGTCCATATTTGAACCCTGTGTGAGCGGAGAGGCTCACACACATCTTATTGGAATGTATACAAGAAGTTCAAAAATCAGGTGTTGAATACTTTTAGTACAAATATTAAATATTTGATAAGTAATTAACCTCAGCAGAATAGTTTTTGGACCCTACTATAAAAATGTACTTGTATTTTGCAATGATTGTATTCATGGCATGTTTCTCTTGTGTAAAGTATATTTAAATGAACATGTTTATCAATGAGTGTACTTTAACATGTAACAGTTTTGTGTTTGAAAAGGTTTGTATTTTGTGAATATAAAAGCTGTGAGATGATCATCATTTCCATGCTTTCATCTCCTTATGACAGCAGATCTGTGTTTTTCTCTCTGTGTGTTTTCCTGTAAGCTTGTGTCCGACCTCAGAGCAGTGAAAATAAAAACCTCTTGTCTTCTTGTTATTTTCTGTTCAGATGCAATTTTCTTCTGAGGGTCTAATTTCCGAGCAAATCATCCTCTTTTGCACTGACCTATTTTCCTTGAGTTAGTTTTCTGTGATTTTGCCTGTTGCATCTTACAGTGCATGTTTATCTCTTTTTTTAACTCAACACCCTGTAGATTTTACTCAGAAATATATATTTATCAAAAGCAAAATGTAATACACGTTTAAATGATAAAATAAAGATATTTTCAGCTGTGAAATGTACTGATGGCTTTATTCAATTCATAATATGCACATTGTATTCATTATGTGTTTTGTGTATTATTGGTTATACACTCAAGACTGCATCAAATCCAGATATTGAAAAAAGAATACATATGTCTGAGGAATGTACTTCCCATTTGCTCAAAGAGAAAAACAAATGGCAACAAAAGCGGATTAATAAAACGATGGTATTATTTAGAGATATAAACCAAAAATAATGCGAAAACGCACACAATAATCACATGAACTTACCAATCAATAGACCCATTTTTCTTAATGAATTTTTAAGAAAAAACAGTTTTAATATAATAAATAAACAGGGAAGAAGAAGAACAATTGTAAGCAGTAGAAATCTTATATCCCAGGCTCCCTCCAACAATGCTAAAAAAAAAAAGAATTATTTTTATTTTTTTGTCCGAGTTGGGTTTATTTATGGTAGTAAAGGTAGTGTAGAATCACAAAGTATATTTACTGTGTATGAAAATACAGGACAATGGTCTGTATTGTTCAGAAGGACAGGAAATATTCATTTTCTTCTCCCTGCCTTCTGCTATATATGCTTTTAGCCGCTGTTTGCTGTTGGATTGATTATAAAAGCCGGGCAGAGCACAGATCCCCCGAGAGCAGAGAGAGGTGAGAGCAGCATATAAAGGAAGGCACTAATGAATAAACTAAGCGTGTCAGAGAAGCACACTAAATTAGCCCTATATAAGCATTTTCAAACGTTTATATACTTTCTGTTGTCACTGCAGGGCCAACAAAAGAGGAACATGGTCCACAACCTGTGATAATGTATAAAAGATTGCACAATCAATGTTTATTTATATAGCCCAATATCACAAATGTTACATTTGTCTCAGTGGACTTCACAGTGTGTACAGAATATCAGTATGACAATACGACACCCTCTGTCCTTAGACCCTCACATCGTACAAGGAAAAACTTCCAGAGAAAACCCACAGTTTAAAGGGAAAAATGGGAGAAACCTCAGGGAGAGCAACAGAGGAGGGATCCCTCTCCCAGGACGGACAGACGTGCAATAGATGCCGTGTGTAAATCTAACAGATAATACATTTTACAGTAGACCAAATGTTTGGAAATGCATGTGTCTATAATAAGAAGATCAATCCACGAGGATGTCAACAATCCTGTGGGAGCCATCAGGGAAGTAGTATGATGAGAGTCAGGCAGGACCACGGTTCAGCCACGACTCGAAGTCCAGGACTCAGATCCAGAACTCAGGATAGATCCAGGACATAGGACCACAGCAACAGGATTAGCCTCGACTCAGGATCCCAGCGTAGATAGACACCAAAAATAAATTTGGGGGAAGCTGGGTTATTCGGAACGAGAGTAGGTACAGACAGACAGAAGGAAGAAGTAAGGTGTCCCCCGACAGTCTAAGCCTATAGCAGCTAAACTAACGTGTCTACGTACATGCACTCCCTTAGGATAGGGTTACACAATAACAATACGGTTATACACAATGCAGGCATGTGCTGGATGACCTCTTTTTGGTCGGTTTTACAAGTGAAAAAACTGAAACATTGACTTTCATTTCACATAACTGTAATAGGTTAGTTGAAAGCAATAATATTAAGTTGAACCTAATACTTTTCATTTAAACTTAATATTATTGCTTAGGACTACAGCTATGTGAAGTTTGCTGACTTATTACATTTAAGTCAATGTTTCAGTGTTTTCACTGCAGCAATCCATGAGAGATAAGAAGCTGCACCAGTAGCATGTGTTATTCATCAGTGTAGAGGAAACTTCTGTGTAGCTATGCAGTGGGAGTCACCGACTCAGGAAGGAGACACGGTAGGAGCAGTAGCTTTGATGTCAAACACTGGTGGTTTATTTGGAGTTAACGGCCGGAGGATTCACATCACAAGTCCAAGAGTCAGAGGTTCTGACTTCACGGTAGAGTTGCCACGTCAATTCTGGAGAGCCTCTCTCTTGCCAGCCCATCTAACTGGTTTCGCAGATAGTAAACAACATATTTGAGAAGATAGCCTAAACAGTGTGGGAACACTGAGTTACTTGCGTCGGACACTTATGACCTCGAAGATTTCACCTTGGAGTCCACAAATACAGAGAAGGAAGTGTCCCAGTGTACCCACAGCACAGACCATCTGTGACCCAGTATTGACCGGTCATAGAATGGGAACAATAACATTATTGGCTAAGCAGCCTGTGTCCTTAAAGGAGGTAAACAGACATCAAGGTTTGTCCTGTATGTCACATCTTGGCGTCTATGACAATTATTTCCATAACAATCAGTATGTTAATAAAATGATTTTTCTGAAAGCATGTTGTATTTCCTCTCACACATTGTCGCACGTGTCTAATGTGGAGTCTGGAGTGTTGAGTGCATATTTCGCCTCTGGTCTCCTCTGCAAACCAAGTGTTTAATCCTCTGATCTGCACAGCAGCGGGGGGGAGCAAGTGGGCGGCAGGGGTTGGAAATGTGTGGTTCCTGCCTCTAAAATATATTCAGTCATAATTTACCATTTCCGAATTTGGCGTGTGGTGCAGGGGGTCACAGGTTCAAACCCCACTGCAGTCAGCATGTCGTTGTGTCCCTGGGCAAGACACTTCACCCCGAATTGCTCCTGTGGGGATTGCCCACAGTATTGAGTATGTAAGTCGCTTTGAAGAGTCTAACAAGTGACATGTAATGGGCTTGGGATCTTGCTATTTCCGCCCTTTTCTACAACGAAAGACAACATTAACACATTTCAAGTAAATGACGGTGCTATTGGCTAGAACTAAATTATTATG